GGAATTCTTGTAGTGGGTTTCTACAAGAAGTTCTTTCTTGGGGGCAAGAAACTGTCTATCTTAAATGTAGGAGTGTCTACATGTGTGGTATGCTGGTAAAACTTCTTCATTAAGATAGTGGAACAAATCTTGATCAGGTTATGATTGAGGACTGGATGTAGGTCACATGTGGAGTGGCTGAACCAGGATAAAACACTTTGCACTCTTCTCTCATCTCTATCTCTTACCTTGAATCATCTTTAATTGAATACTAAAATGGTTGGTCTTGATTGATATTCTTGTATGATTAATAATGGTTTAAACTGAAATATTACAATTGCATATTAGTTGTTTCTTAGTCTAAATTCATAAAGATTAACGAAGAATTCATATAGGAGTCATTCCCATTTGTTAAAGGTTCAATTAACTTCATTGAAAATTCATATTAGAAAGTTTTTTAGTGAAATAAAGATCCTTAAACTCTGAAAAAATTTTAAGTGCCATTGAATCCAAATTACCCCCCTCTCGAATTGAGCCATTCTTTTCTATCAATTCATGCATTTGTGAGTCGAGTCCATGGCATCATTGCACAATGAGTGACTATGTTTGTGCTACTAATGTATGTATGACTTGAGTTGTGCTTGATTAACGTGTATTTTGTGTTGTGCTTTATTATGATTTGTGTGTGTGCTGCCTGACCGTTATTTTTAAACCTTAACCTGAGTAAGATGTTTCTCACTCCCCTATTTGTTCTATGTGTGTCTTCTACTGTGTTGCAGATGACCATCAACATGAGGATGTTGGTGATGAAGCTTAGGCTTCAGTTGGGCGTGCTCTGATAGGATATGTGACATCGAGACGTAGTTAGGATTAACTTAGAATGCTACTTTTGTTAAATTGATTAGAAGACCTTAATTTTATCCTTTTGTAATTTTCACATTAGCCTATGATTTATGTTTTATGAATGTGAGCTTTTTACCCTTATGTGGTTAGAGACTTGGATTTTATTTATGAAGGTTTTTATTTATCTCTATTTCTTGTATAATTATGTATATGGGGTAGAGGGTATCACAGTTATGAGGGTAGTGAAAACCTCACTTCAATGTGTGGGTTATTTTTTGGGTAAAGGGATTGACCCCTAATTTTGTAGGTTGTGTATATATGTATATGTGAAGGATGAAACCCAAAATCTTGTTATGACACCCTATACCCCGCATGATGGCATCCTTGCTTGCATGAACATGAGATGATGAGCAAGGAAGAGGACGCCACCTCGAAGGATCAAGTTCTTCAAAGGTGGCATAAGGTTTTGGGGTGGATGATGATAGAATGGGAGAATGAGAAGTAGGGTAGAGGGAGTTTTATGAAAGGCTTGAAAGGGGAAATCTAGGGTTGGCTCATTTCATTGATGATGAAGGCCACTTCTAGGATTTTTCTCTCAAGGTGGAGATGGTAGGGTTTGGCCGAAAATAGCCAATGGAGACTAAGGAAAATATTAAGTCTCAAAGGCTCACTCAATATTATAATTTCCAAAGTGTGTACAAGGTGTTAAGCTTTGGGTATTTATAGGAGTGGAAGACATCTAGGGTTGTATTTGGAGACTGCATGGCCGAAAATGAAAGGCCAAATGCACACCAAATGAAACCCAAATTAACCCTAGATGCAACTTGGTGGCCAAGGATGGAATCTTTAGGTTTAGTTAGGCTACATCTAGGTGCATGATAAGACCATGCAACCTTTGCCCTCCACTTGGGCCTAAGCCTTTCTAAGTCTAAAAATAGGTCCAAAAACCACCAAAAATACGTCTAGCCTCCTAATTAAATACCTTGGCCCAAAAATAAAACCTATGATCTAAATCACCCCATAATACAAGAGTAAAATGGAAAATACAAAATAAAATAAATCCTATGACTAAGATACCCCAAAATACAAGGGTAAAATTGGAAAATAAAATAAACCCTATACTAATAAAGCTTAGGAGAGTATTAATACCCTATGATCATGAGGAGGGTTTCCTTTGGTGGGTGAGCTCCCTCCTCCTCTTCCACTCTCCTAGTCGTGGACCTAGTGATGGGGCCCACATGTATCCTCAAGGATGGTCCTCCATCACCGCATTCTATAATACATAGATAACAAAATATGAAGAACATAATCTTTCATAATTAAAATATCAAACGTGTTCAGATAAAGAGGACCACATCCATGACTTAAACAAATAACGTAATCAGTGAAAATTGCAAAGAAATAATGTTAAGGTTTCCAAAATAATTTAATAAGAAAAACATCCTAATCTAATCCTATCTACGCCCCGATGTCACATGTCCTATCACAGCAAAGCCCAACATTGAAGCCTAAGCTTCATCACCAACATCCTCAGTCTCATGCTGATGATCACTTGTATAACAATCAAAGTAAAATAACACAAAAGAAAAGGGAGTGAAAAACATCTCACTCTGGCTACGGTGTAAGAATACACACCGGATAGCCAAACACAAGCAAGACATGTATATGTACATAACATAGATAGATTAACAACAATAACACATCCCACGCACCAAAGACATAAAAATCAAGTTAACATATAACATTAAAAAGGCACATGTAATGGACACAGACTACATATTATCATGCATGTGGCGCCAGTAACACATCACGTGGTGTATTGCCGCTAGCAACACACGTAGAGTAGTTTAGGAGTACATGTCGGGTCACACCCTCTACGCAATCTCA